AAAACCTTCTCCAGAGTGCTCAGGACCTCAGACTGGGCCGAAGGTTTACCTTCCAACAAGACAATGACCCTAAGCACACAGCTAAAATAACGAAGGAGTGGCTTCACAACAACTCTGTGACTGTTCTTGAATGGCCCAGCCAGAGCCCTGACTTAAACCCAATTGAGCATCTCTGGAGAGACCTAAAAATGGCTGTCCACCAACGTTTACCATCCAACCTGACAGAACTGGAGAGGATCTGCAAGGAGGAATGGCAGAGGATCCCCAAATTCAGGTGTGAAAAACTTGTTGCATCTTTCCCAAAAAGACTCATGGCTGTATTAGATCAAAAGGGTGCTTCTACTAAATACTGAGCAAAGGGTCTGAATACTTAGGACCATGTGATATTTCAGTTTTTCTTTTTTAATAAATCTGCAAAAATGTCAACAATTCTGTGTTTTTCTGTCAATATGGGGTGCTGTGTGTACATTAATGAGGAAAAAAATTAACTTAAATGATTTTAGCAAATGGCTGCAATATAACAAAGAGTGAAAAATTGAAGGGGGTCTGAATACTTTCCGTACCCACTGTATATACAGTATATATATATCATTGTATAGAACAGTCAGGACATTCTGCAGTGTAATTCTTTTGGTGTTCTGCAGAAGAAAGAAACCCACACAGGTTTAAAACGACCTGAGAGTGTGTAAATGATGATAGAATTATTCATTTTTGAGTGAACTGATAAAGGATAAAGGGCCTAGTCTAACTAATTCAGACACACTTAGACTATTGTATTGCATATGTGAATTTCATAAAAACCCCAGTTGACAACAGAAGTGATCTGACCACTGGAGAGCAAGAGTGAGCTGGGTTGGGATAAGAATCACCATACACTTCCTTCATCTCCTACTCCTAATCTTCTCTCTCTGTGCTGTCATTTAACTTACCTTCTTTCACAGGAATGGCAGGCTTCTTCTGCCGCAAGCCCAGGAGTATGAAGAAGAGCACCAGAGGGATGAATATCTCAAATGCAAGAACCCACTGCAGAGATAAGCATACAGAGAAAACATGAAAGCCACACTAGCCACTGTGGCTGCTGGTTATATACATATAGCATAGTTGATTCACTACAGTTGGTGCGAACCTCTTTGAACATCTGAAATGTCACACTGTCCATCATTAAAGATCTTATTTAAAATAAATGCTGTTCATTTCAACTTTCCATCACAAAAAGTATTAAGCAGCACAACTGTTTTCAACAGTGATAATGATAATAAAAAAATGTTTCTTATGCAAAAATCAGCATATTAAAAAGATATCTGAAGGATTATGTGACACTGAAGACTGAAATAATTTATTTTTGATACAGCATTGGTGATTCGTGAGCATAAGAGATGTATAAATATTGATAGTAAATATAAAAATACATTACATTCTTTCATAATGGGGCCAGTGAAAACGTTGGCTGGCTCAGGTGGATAAGCAGGCAAAAAAATCCCATTGTTGAGGCCTGCCAACCGATTGAGTCCAGTGTCAGAGATTGATCCGGTAAATACAGACTGGCCAATTGAAGAGTTTGCTTAACATGCAATATTTGCTAGTGGGTTGGCTAACACACCTGCTAGTGCTTCCAAACAGCCCGTTCCAACAATTATTAAAAGATGAAATGAAATATATCACATACACGTACACACACACTCCACAGCAGGTGGTTGGAAAGAGATGTCAAATGCTTTCAGGCACATTGTTTAAAGTGTGCAAAATACAGCAGAAAAGCTGCATCTTCCAACATTTACCTCTGCATTATTTCCACTACTTCCTTATTTGCACTCTCTCTCTCTCTCTCTGCAGGAGGCTCTTTTTGGACAAATCTGAGCTGAAGTTACTAAGAAATAAGCTGTTGGTTGAAGTGTAGACTATGATTAGGAACTCATAGGGTTATAGCCAAGGATGCTATTTATAGCTGAACTGAGATCAGCCTCTTATTCTTCCTCCCTCTACGAATGCGTGCGGCTGGCTGCCATCTGTGCTTGACCGAGAGAGGCTGATCTCAAATCAGTATCTAAGGGCATCCTGTCCTGACCACAATGTGTCTTTCACTGCAACACAGCATCACGCTGACCCCACATCCCGTCTCCGTTGACAAGTGACAAGAGAAGGTGCAGAGGTTTTTCTCTCGTTGTTATACATTCTGCCCATCTCTGCCATTTCTGAAGGTCACAACAAACAAGAAGCTCCTTTTACATGCATCTCTCACAATACACAAAGCCGCATCTGACACGACACACAAAGCTTCGCTTACGAGACCCTCGGCGCTGAGCACGGGGGGTGTAAACACCAGCCAAAGAGTGCTTGTTTCTTTTTAGAAAGTCCTGTGGCTTATTTAAGCTTTAAAGGGGCAAAGAAAAACATTGTTTCACTCATAGTCAGTTTTAAACTGTAATTTGTATGTTGGAGGCTGTTCATCTATTATTTGTGGAGCTATTGTGTCTGCCTATGAGCACTGCTCTTATACTCAAGTGAAGTCAAGTCTATTTGCATAGCGCTTTTTTTTTACAGTGCACATTGTTTCAAAGCAGCTCTACAGATTGGATTACTTTATTGTGATATATCTTTACCGTGACCCATCTCATGGTACAAGATTTTGGTCATACATCACCCACTGTTTTGCTAGAAAGTTATTACATAATTTAAATGTGGAAGACAGACAGGGCATGCAAACAATCAATCTCTGAGTTACGACAATATTTTGGCACAGGTTGCTATTGTAGTCGTTGGATAGCGTCATATCGTAGGGGGAGTAGATCATCTGGCTAGGTGAAGCTGGATCTAGAAGGCCTTGATACCAAAATGTTATGACCTTTATGACTGTGATGGATTATTGTGGCGAGGGGGGAGTGGTTCAGCGAGGTCTGCACCGGGAGAGAGAGGCAGGAGACGAGGGGGGCGTAAGTAGGTCAAGCGCAAATGATAATCACCTGTGTCTCGTTTCAGTAATTGGTGTGGAGAGACCGGATAAAAGGGGCCACCTGGAGCATGGAAGGCAGAGAGAGACTGACTGGGAACGCGAGCCACCCGGGGAAACCGGGCTACTGGAGCAAAGCATATATAGAGCTATATTCCGAGTTATTGACGGAGAGTTTGAATGCGCAGTGAGCGCCTTGTTCTGTTGTATTTACTGAGAGACTTGAATAAACACTCGCATCCCAGTCCGCCGACCCTGTCTTCTTCCTTCCTCCCTCTTGAACCATATCACAATTATAATGTTGGAGAAACCATAAGTTTTTTGTTTTGGTAATAATCTTATTTGTCTAATGTAAATATGCAACAACTGTTAAAGGGGTCATATGATGCTGCTAAAAAGAACATTATTTTGTGTATTTGGTGTAATGAAATGTGTTTATGCGGCTTAAAGTAAAAAAAACACATTATTTTCCACATACTGTACATTATTGTTTCTCCTCTATGCCCCGCCTTTTTGAAACGCGTCGATTTTTACAAAGCTCATCGGTCTGAAAAAGCGAGGTGTGCTGTGATTGGCCAGCTATCCAGTGCGTTGTGATTGGCCGAATACCTCAAGCGTGAGACGGAAATGTAATGCCCCTCACCATACTGTTGTATTCCCTCAGCGACCAGCACGGATCAGTTCTAGGCATGACGAAGCAGATATCGTCCTCTTTTGGAAGACCAAACAAAGTAGTTTCACTTTCACAACGAAGCACACAGCATCTTCAGGATATGGCAGCGGCAACAATACTACAGTGAGAATAAAAGTTACGCCTTCTTTCTTTGCGTGAACATTTGGGCGGCGTTATGCAAA